TTTACTTACATTGTTCTACATCATTGCAATTGCAATTAACTAAATCAACAGAAACACAGACATAAATAGCTATCTGTTAGAGATGACATAATACGTATAGAAAATGTATCCACTGAATATCGAGGTAGTGGAGTTAGAATATGGATGAGATGTGTATTCATCTAAACTCCATATATACACACAACATGCTCATGGAAACATATTGCGATATACACAATAAATATTTTAGTCATACAAAGGTTGAGCTTTGGCATTCTACTCGATATGGAAAAATATATGTTAGACGGGCCGTTGAAGAATCTGAGCGACGCTTTCGCTTTAAAGTTTCTATCAGAGAAGTATGTTGCCTAAAGAATATGTGGTCGACTAAGGGTGGCTGCACCAGAGGTAGGCGATTGACGAGGATCCTGGCGAGGCCTCGCTGGAAGAATTTTTGAAAACTGGACGAGGGACGGGGCGAAGCCCACGGAGGACATTTTTTTCTTGTTAACGAAAGACGAAATCGAGACGCTGGATGGAATTCTTTTCACTTCACTTGAAAAATATATTCGTTCAGTAGAGGACATCTACCTTGTACACTGCAGTTTCCTCCAGTGAAAGCTAAAGCTCTAGCAGTAACAGTTGTGTATTGTAAAGGCTATTTCTATCCTATTTTATTTGTTCTTCTGTCTTCGTATTACGTGCTCTGTATATATGACATCCTAGTTATCTAATTTTCTCTTTTACGGATTTTTTTCTCTCTCATTTTATTCTTTGACCTATTCCTCTTTGTTAAATTGTTAATAGAACAATCTATTCAGTCTATCCGTTTTCTCTCTCTTTTTCTCTTTTGTTTTCTACTGTCGTTCTAATGTTCTTTTGTTTTCTTGCGCATATGTATATCTAGGATTGGTCATCGGCAATCTGTTATTATTAACATCTTAATGTTTAGTGCACCGGACTCAGGAGGATCGACGAAGAAGTACCGGTGAAAAACTTTGCCAATAGTTGACGATGGACGAGGTGGTGACGGAGCAGAAAGCTTACGGAGCGGGACCCGCGGGAAGAATTTTTGAAAACTTGGCGAGGGGCAAGGCGATGACGAGGCAAGAACTGCACGAGGCGAAGCCCGTGGGGGAGCTAAAAACAGTCCATCGCCCACCTCTAGGCCACACAGCAAACACTGGAGATGTTCGCTCTTTGCCCGGTGGGTAAATAGGCGTTCTAGTTTTTAATTGATGATAAAGTACATATACATAGGGCACTCCAAAAGTTTTTCCTCCGGCTCTCTTAAAAGCCGTAATTTAAGTTGAACTATTCTAATATAATGATTAGACATATTTAGGATTATGTGCAAAGGTACACATTTAAAAGTCTTGTGCGTCGCTGTATTTTTAATTTAAATAAGCATGGGGGGGGGGGACCAAGCGCCTTCTGATCGTACAGTTCAAAAGTTCAGGCAAGCTTATGGTGGCGATTTTCTTCATGAAAACCGGTTTAATCAAGTCCATACCATTAGAACGTGGTGGAACGGTAACAAAGAGATGGTATGTCGATAGCTGTCTACCACAAGTCTTCGAAACAGTATCGGAATGGCGACAAAAGATTGGTCTTCGTGGTCTCATTTTGCATGATGATAACGCGAGGCCGCATAGAGCCGGAATTGTTAACGAATTTCTGGCCGAAAATCGTGTTGAACCATATCGAAATCCACCGTATTCTCCAGATCTAACGAGGGAAGGACACCAACTGATAAATCGCTTTTGAGCCGTAAGGTAGTGGACAATAGGTAATCAAGTGCACTAAATCCGAATATGGCAATCGTTTAGGCCCATAGCCCTCCTGAGACCGGATATCTAGAAAACCAGTTTTTCAGAAACTCTAAAAAGTAACAGAAGCCTTTCTTAATGAGGTCTGATTGTAGCCCGCAAATTTCTGATTAAAATGAGACCTCTCCCAGCTCTGCATGACCTTTCTTTGCAGAGTTATAGAATTTACAAGAAAAGCCCTAAATTTATTTCTTCTTATTTGTGTAGCTTTGAGCTGACAATGAACAGTTTAGGTCTTTTCTTGTAAATTCTATAACTCTGCAAAGAAAGGTCATGCAGAGCTGGGAGATGTCTCATTTTAATCAGAAATTTGCGGGCTACAATCAGGCCTCATTAAGAAAGGCTTCTGTTACTTTTTAGAGTTTCTGAAAAACTGGTTTTCTGGAAATCCGGTCTCAGGAAGGCTATGGGCCTAAACGATTGCCATATTCGGATTCAGTGCACTTGATTACCTATTGTCCACTACCTTACGGCTCAAAAGCGATTTATCAGTTGGTGTCCTTCCCTCGTAAGTCCGTGTGACTTCTCTTTATTTGCAAAACTCAAAAATCAACCACGTGAAATTCGATTCGACGACGACAATGCAATGCTGAATGTGTTAGAACAAGCCATTGGCAGCCTCACAAATGATGATTTCCAAAACTGCTTTGATGGCTGGTTTATCGGAATGCACAAGTGCATTGATGCTGACGGACAGTACTTTGAAAAACTACATTAGAACCAGTCTTTGAATGTTAGTCAAAAAGGCCTTTGGAAAAAACTTTTGGAGTGCCCCTTGTAATTATACATATATACTTATCTCTTGACGTTGACTGCAAAATGGGTTTTCTGTGGTTTTTCGCTGAACCCTAACGGGCTAAATTTTTAAAAGATTGGGCCCGCACTCGTAGCTGCTCTGCCGGTATCCAGCCTTCGGACCAGATCGGATACATGTACACCTCTCCGAACTATCACTACGATGTTTTTCCATAAATAGATAGACTAAAGTGTACTCCTCAAAACAGAAGCTAAGCGAGAGCTTCATCTGCCATGATTAAGCAGGGGACGAGATTTTAGCCATAGGGCTGCTCTTCGTTTCGGTCAATAAACCTCATGGAGACAGAAGTTGCCACTATACTGAATCTCGTACTAATATTTGCTTTTTAAAAAGGTTTTAAAAGCTGGTGAGAACCACGTTTTGAAAAATTAGGATGTTCCGCTCGTTTAAAAAAATTCACGAAAAGGTTGATACATTCGCTCTTTGCCTTCGTCCACTCTTGCTCCGCAACTAAAACAGGTTAAGTCTGACAATGCGCACACATAATATACGTGTTTGTGTTTGTAAGCTGGTATA